CAAATGAAAGCTTACGACAAGAGAAGTTTCAAGTAAGGCGATCGGTGAAAACTATATACATATATGATTTTATGGATAGACTTATAAACGCAGGTGAACTTTAACCATATTAAAGAATATTGGCGGGATGTCTTTTTAAAATTGAGAATACCAGACTCGTAACTCACGACAGCGTACGAGTTACTGGCACGTTGGATGATTAAAGCTGACTTTTATCGTCTTTTTTCTTTTTTTCTTGTTGTTTACCTTTATTAGTGACATTTTTTGTGTCTATTTTCGCTATGATAAACGTTGATGAGGTGTTGAAAAGAAAGTGTCGAAAGTGGCGAAACTGACACTGCCCAAAGAAAGCAACTAATAATAATAACCAAAACAAAAGTAGCGAAAGCAGCGAAAAGGCTAATTATATTAATTAATGACTGTCAAAGCGACAGCTGAGTGATTCATTAAGGAAGCAAGGACACCACTGGCACTTGAGGACAGCCAACGTAAAGGCTTTCTAAAACAATAACAAAATTATGTAAAACAAAAATATCAAAGGAAAAGCAGAGAAACACCAAGTGTGGATCGTATATGTGTCAACTCAAAATATTATCGTGTTTACAGAGCAGAGATGAAAACGCTATCTTATACTTTTAGCGTTAGCGCTCTCAATATTGCTCCACGAAAACTGCGGATGTTATTAAAATGTGGAACGCAAGTACGTTTCTCTTCGAATCATAGATTGTGCGTACTTTTAAACAAATTCTCTTTCTCTGAATGGAAACTTCCAGTGCCACTTCCAAATGAGCGTATTCTGCCTATATATTTATCGATTGAGTGAGCTTTTACTCGAAATACTCGTCTATATTGTTGATTTAAAAAAGCTTATTTCAAGATGTTTGAACAACTTTGAAGGCTTTCTAGCTGCCGTCAACTGGCCGGCCGGTAGCTGTTCGATGATGAACTTTGATATGGCTGACTTTCTCGTAACGTCGCCTGCTGTTCTTCGGCTTTAATTTTCAGTTTATTGTTGTGATTCTTGGTTGTTGCTATCTTGGTTTTTAGTTCTTCGTTTCGTTTGGCAGTAAGTTGTTGCGACATAAGTGGCCTACAGAAAGTGGCGTATGTCATGTTAACGACATTCCACAGTCGCTTTACACCAGCGAGGCTAACGTACTGCAAATGAATCGAAGAGTCGGGAGCCGTTGTTAATGCTTCTTGGCACTATGCGCTGAAGTTGAGTCATTAAAAGAGCGCGGCAATCGCATAGATTTCCTATGAGTGCTTATACATACATACTAGTGCCTCTCTGAGTAGTAAGTCGATATGTAAAGTTAACCTAAATGCGCGTGTGTGTAAAGCCTACACATTTTACTGCTTTTATGTCATCGATTTTAGTCTAAAGTAATTTGTTGCTTTTTTATTGGTAAGTTTTAATTAAAGCTCTCTGCCATCATCTCAAAAAATAACGACATAATACTAATCCATCTTTATACATATTTCATTTGCAAACTATGCGGCTTTCCCATAGACAGATTATAATTAGTACATATTTCATACATATATAAGAACCATAAGTAGTCTTCGGCTTGAAGTTGACGACATAAATATGTAAAGCGAAGCTGTGGCAAATTCTCAACTGAAAGCTGCTTATTTAATTGGCTGTTGCCGTTGGATTTGATTTCATTAGAAGGGATTTGATATAAATAAAATGTTTTGTAGAACTTAAGTGAAGAAAGATAAGGAAGGAATGAAGAGGGGTTTGCAGGACTATGAAACGTATACGTCTACTTTATGCAATTTATGTTGGTTTGGTATTACGTGTGCTGAATGATATGCTAAATATTGAAACATGTACTTATAGATAGATAGAAAGGATTTAGGGTCTAATGTGCCCCTTCCTCCCTGTCACACAGACTAACATACTTCTGGCACTCTGATAAATTGCAGTATTCTGCTGCGTGCTATGATGGAATGTGATCCCTAAACGGATATATACATCCAAGTGCTTTGATCCGGCGTCTAAAAAGTGCTGTGTAGTTTGGAATCAGCTGCTCGGTAGTTTTCGACTTCATGTCGCAAAACCAACAGTTTGCACAAGAGGTTGGCTAATGCTTAAAAGCGTGCTTCTTGAGCCTACAGTGCCCAGTGTAAAATGCCGCGAGTAGCCGAAAATGTTTTTTTCGGCCCACTCTCTCCTCCTTGCGGAGCAGCACCTTTATGGAATGGGGATCAACCGCATACCATCCTGGAAGCAGTTGCAGAGTTCGTCAGCCTATTCGTTTCCAGCTACCAATCAAAGAAGATTTGCTGCTTTGACGAGTGTTTTAAGAACCGTCATTCGTTAAGCAGTGAAGTGGCTTAGAATTGTAGAGAGGAGTAATTAAATAATACTTAACGATTTAGCGAGTACCTCAGTGTGGTGCTGGGCCCAGGTAACATGTGCAACTTGCTAATTTTGTTAAGTTAAATCGCAAGGTTGCGAAGCATAAACCACCACTGACGGTGTGTGGGAGCTTACGACATGAAAGGCGTGAAAAAGCGTAACAACTTTAAACATAACGGAAATATAAACTGGGGGAACACAGCTATAAAAGTGAAAAGACAACGATGCGTGCGAACGAACGCCAACCAAGCAGCTACGCGGAACTGCAAAAATAATGTAAGGCGTTAAGCGTTGAAAAGGAAGCGACGTAATGCCTGGCAAGGAGGAAGCAAGATGCAACGACGATTGCAGGTAACCTCGTTGACAGCGTACAACTAAAGCAATTTACCTGCTTAAACGCATTTACGTCACTTTCTGGCTTCCAACTTCCCTTTTTCGTCTTCCTGATTTGCTTTGTGCGTCCGCTCATTTTAAGGAAAGTGGCATATGCAACGTTTTTTTTTTTTGTTTGCCAGTCATTGATGTTATTTTCATACTATTCCTGCATAGCGGCAATAATTTATAGAATCGCAGTTACGCTGCGATCGAAAGTAAAGGCAAACGGGCGCTACGCATCTTGCAGATTGCCAAAGAAAGTGTTTGTAGGTCCGCGACTTCGCAGAGAAATGCTGAAGCGTGCTCTTACTTGAGTGCTGTAGGCAGCCTTTAGGTCTTTAGTCGTACATGATGCCATGACGGTGCGTGCTAAATACGGTGAAAGAAAAGCGAAATGCAGAGCAATGTCAACGAAACGAAGCACTTTACGTTTATACAAACGCTTTCGAAGCACCGCTCACCGTAAATAGGCGGTTAGTAAAGCCCGTGACCCAAAAACTGTTTAATAATAATATTCAATGCAGAAAGTGTGTGTTTATGAAGATTGTTGGTGAAAGTTTCAATATACCTGTGAGCAGTGATAACGTATTTCAGTGGATACAGTTCGAAAGAGCTAATAAGTGTCGTATACACCCACTGTGTTCTGATAATTTGTCAAATAGCTGCAAACTATATACACGAGCGTAAGGCAAATTTTAAAGTTCTTAAAAGATCCGGAGCGCAGCAAAAGTGGGTTTGCCCATTTGCCTATATGTACTGACTCTTTGGCTTTTTTTTGTAACTGCCCTAGTACGATTTTTAAACAGAGGGAGCTAGTTACATATCTGAAGCAGCTTCTTGGAATTTTTTTTTTGCAACTGTGGCTGCATCTGTTAATGTTGTTACTGTTTATCTTTCTCCTCGTATTACGCAATGGTAGTTTAAAAACACCGCAAATTTCCGAACAAAACTAAAACGTCGAAGTGTCGAAGCTGCATACATATATACTTATATATATATATATATATATATTATATTATACACAACATATAGGCATATATATATATAACTCGTATATATATATATATATATATATATCTGTATATGTGTGCAGCAAAAGAAAATTGCTCAGAAAATCACTGAAAAGAGCAATGCGAAAAGATATTGCACAAGGTGCTCGCCGCTATACTCTTACGGAGTTACGTGCTCCGCCGGAGGGTTGGTGTGTGCTTCTGTTAGCAGCGCGTTGTTGTGCAACATAAAGTTTGCGGTACATAATAATGGGAAAACTTTTCTGCATTCACCGCTACCACAGCGCTCCCTTATGCTTTCGTTGCATTATGATGCGGTTTATATCACTCTTCGGTGTTGCATGAAGCATGTTGAAGGAATGAGTACTAGCTGTATTAGATTGAAACTAAAAGTGCTAATAATACGTTATTAATTTTTTAATTTTTGTAAACATTAATTATAAGTGCGAATAATATTTCTCATTGTCGAGAGGAGTAGAATTGTTGAACCCATAAAAGCCGGTCTGGAAACCCGTCAGATAATAAAGGCAGCGTAAAAAACACGGGTTCCAACTTTAGTTTGCGTTTGTTTGTATTGAAGAATAGTTTAGTTCTTCAATTACGCGGAGAAGGTTAAGGATGTCGAGCTAGGTCTGCCTCACAACTAATTATAACTGATGTGATCTTATGTGTTCCTATCTGCCAATCTGCCATACACATCTAAATGGTAATACTATATGCCTAACTTTTTTCATTTTCATTTTAGTTTCTTATTTAGTTGGCCCCTAGAATCTATTTATAATTATACCGACTTCGGTTTTACGACCGTACATGTTTAAGGTGTCAAAATCAGTAAAACTAAATAATTTTTACGTGGAATCACTAATTAATGGTAACGAGTTGTTTTGCAAGACACACTTCCTTAATTGCCAATTGACACGCAAGCTTGATCGTACAATTCAGATTGCATATGCTACTTTTAGGTTTGTTGCATTCGTGCGAGGTGTGTATAAGAATTTGAAATGTTAGGCATGAAGAGATGAAAGCAAATTGAACAGGAAAAACAAAGAAGGCTACAAAAGTATGTAGTCGTTGCAGGCGTAGTCGCGGCAGATCGGTGCTTACGCGGCCTTTGTGGTAAAAAATTTTAGTCTCCCCAACTCCAACTGTTCTACTCTAATCGACTACTTTAATTGTATAAACGACATTGTTCGAATGGATAAGAACACTCCAGAGTAGAAAGTATTTGAGCCGGATCTACTAGTTTATTTAATATTACTATATTTATTTTGAATATATATACATTCTATTCCAACGAAAACGTTCTCGTGTCAGTGCCGGAATTCAAGACGATTGTCTCTGGCGTAGTTGGCGCTCCTAAACGCACCCACTCACGCTGAACACCAGCATCTTGTCGAGCAGATTGTAGAGCATGTTGTACAGCAAATATAGAACTAACTGCCAGGCAGGCTGGAGGCTCGCCAGTAGTTTTTGAACGCATAAAGCCAGCAGGGTTGGGATTCTTCTGCAACAGTTCGATGCGAAAGTCAATGGGTATGTCCTTGGCACCTGGTGGCTTGTATGTCCAGGTACGATTAGTTAGCAGTCGCCCAGTTTGACGCTCGTACACCAAGTGCTCCGTTAACCAGTAACCAAGCAGCATGACAAATGCGCCCTCAACTTGTCCAACATCTATATAAGGGCTTAGACTTTCACCAGCATCTTCTAAAAGGTCCACACGTTTAATTAAATGATTGCCGGTTAAAATGTCCAGCTTAATTTCAGTTAATGCTAGACCATAAACGAAGTAGTTCTTCATATCGCCTTGTTTATAATGTTCGCTGGCAATCATGTTTATGGTTCGAGTCCAGGCTTCGGCCACTACTTTTGGCCAACTAGCGTTTTTGCCAAGTGCCTCTTTTACCGGTCTCAAGCGCTCATTGAGTGTATCGCAAGCTTTACGTACGGCAAAGCAAAGGCTCTCACTACCCAATGAACCACCTGTCACCTCTGAGTTTGCTCCATTGATTGTGTCGCTGTATTCGAGCTTTACATATGACAACGGTATGCCAAGTGTGTGTGCGGCAACTTGCGCTATTTTCGTGTTCATACCTAAAAAATGATGCAATGTTATTCGTTATGTTTAGCTTAAATAAATGCGCGTGTGTTTAGTCACCTTGACCCATTTCGATACCGCCGTGTGCTATGACTACAGTTCCGTCCACATGATATATGGCTACAGTAGCGGCATATTGTCCAACCAAATTGACAGGATACTCCATTATGGCCAGACCAAGTCCACGTTTAACCCAACGATTACTATCATTGAATGTAGCGATTTCTTTTCGGCGCTGTTGGTAATCTGTCGATTGCAGAAAACGCGGTAATAACTCCACCATTTTATTCCCCGGCCTTAAGTTGACCAGTCGGGCGTCCGCGGGATCTAAATTAGCTTCAAATGCCATATGCTCTAACATGTTTTCTATCATTGCTATTCCCTCTGTTGAACCCGGCGCCCGACACCAAGCTGAACTAGGTGCATCGGTGATGACTGCCTGTCCGAACACCCTTGAATTTGAGTCGTTGAGTTCATAACAATTTCTCGCTGTTAAAGGCGTAAGATCCTCAATGGGATTCTCATTTGTTGTACATCCTGCATCCTCGTAATATGTATTCGTGAAGCCTACAATCTTACCATTGTTTTTGATATGGAACTCGTAGTCGGAACGGCAACCCCAACGTTTGCCATTTGAATTCATCATTGACTCAATGGACTGTACGAAACGTGCCGGTCGGTTGAGTTTGTAGGCAGCTAGAGAGGCCGCACAAGCGACTTGGTTACCACGTGTGATTTTAGCACCATACGCGCCACCGAGTCGGCGCACCTTTAATTGCACAGCGTTAGCTGAAATCGCCAACATTTTAGCAATGACACACTGTGTTTGGTCCATCCATTGCGTGGCGCTCCAAACTTGCAGGCCATCTTCAAAGGGTATAGCTACAGTGGTTTGAGGCTCCATTGTAAAATGATATTGCCCACTCATTTCGAAAATGCCTCTTGCTGAGATATCTGGCTGATCTGAAAGTTGTATATCTCTCAAGTGAGAAGGTGTCCTTTCTTTGATCCGCTCTTTGGCCTGTCCCTCAAAAACGTGTGTCATAGTAGGGAAAATTCGTGAGTTTGGACGATTGCTATAAATAACCTTAACCTTTGTGGCGGCACGTTTGGCAATGTCACCCGTCAGTGCAACAACAACGCCTAATGGCTGATCGTAATATTTAACAACACCACTGCAGAATATTTCTTCGGCTACATATTGAAATGCTGCATCACAAAAACTATTGGTGCCGGGTATATCTTTGGCGGTGTAAAAGGCAATGACGCCTGACATAGCCAGTGCTTCCGATGCGTCGATTTGTTCGATGTGGGCACCTACTCTGGTGGCATTGGCGAATGCACAGTGGACGGCGTTTGAAATTGTGAGTGTGTCATCCATATATGTTGCTTCTCCAGAACACTGAATCAACGCTAAATAATAAGAAATAAAAATTGTTATTCTGGCGAAAAAAGTATTAGTAATTTAGTAGTTTAGTTTAAAATATTAGTAATTTTCTATACCATCGAGTTTCTGCACCGGCTGTGTGATCGGATAATTTTTCTCTATTGTCTCGAAGCTCTGTATGCCCGATGAAAGTGGCCGCCTTAATATGTCCGCTCCACTTCTATACTCAGCTCTAACCTTTTCTGCTGGCGCAAGCTTTAGCAGTGTTTTGTAAAAGAGTCCACATGCCAATGCTCTTCGGTAGGTCGGTGAAGGCTCCGGTAATACATCATCGGGCAGCACTTCGTTATTTAAATTCACAAATGCCTGGGCCATAACCTCCTTGTCAAATAAATTTTGCCTTACTAAGTATGCTTCGGTGGCAGTGGCGTGCACGAAATCAGGATTGATGCCACCGAAACAAATGCGCGCGGAGTTAGCTATGCCCCAAGAAGTCACGTCCATATCGAGCAAAAATGCGGCATTTACATATGCGTGCGCATTTTGTGAACGCGGTGTGATCTAAAATTAATAGGTATTAAATAGAATAATGCGGACTCAATTCATGAACTAAATACTTTGTAGGAGTGATATATGAATCTGCCCTTTAGATATGCTCTCAGTTCAAATGCAATAATGACCGCCTTATTGAACGGCAATTTCAGATACTCCAGCATGGACATGCTCTTCGGTTGCGCTGACAGCTCCTGAATAACAATCTGCGCATTGAGTGCCTCGAAAGAAAGGAAAACGTCGGAGGGGAACTCCGGATGAGCCTTCTTAATACTGATATTGCCCGCAAGTGTTCCTGTCTGTATAACAATTCTCGGTTAATAGGAGTTTAATATGTCCAAGCCTAATTAAGCACTCACATTGCGCACAGGTACATTGGCGATCAAGTCGAAATGTTGCCACAACTGCTGACAATACTCAAAACCGGGACGATTGGAAATCTTTTGAAAAATTTCAATAGCTTCGCTGAGACTCAAGTTGGCGCCTAGTGTAAGTTTTTCGCCTACAATGGAATGTCGTTTCAACTCCGGCACCGCATGCAAATCGATAAAATGTCTGATCTCCGGGGATCGTCTGTAGACGCCATGTGCGGTATTTCCTGCCACCAACATATACTGTTCATTGCCCACTTGACCCAGTGCATTGAAAACATCGGCAAGTGTGTGTGGCCAATACCAGTAAGTGCCATTTTCATAAGCCAGCTTAGTTAGGGGCTTGTAACACTTGTTCACACATTGCCTACCCGCCATTGGGCAAACGACAAATTCGAAATCTTCAATGTCGTCGCTGCCCTGTATACCAATATTGCTATCGATGGCAAATGATTTCATTGCATCCAATATCGGCCGATAACCGGTGCAGCGGCAAATGTTGCCACCGAACGAGTTTTCCACTTCGTCCATGGTGACCTTACCGCCCTTAGATTCAAGCAATCCATACATATTCATTACCATGGCCGGCGAGCAAAAGCCACACTGAGAGCCATTCAGCTTGGCCAAGCGCTTTTGAATCGGGTGATAGCCATCGCGTTTGTTGCCAATGCCCTCAGCGGTGGTGATTTGCCAATCCGTACAGGTATTCAGCAGAGTCAAGCACTGCAAACAAGTGTAGGCAAATACATTCGTAAAAGTACATGCATGTATATGCGTACACATACCTAAGTACTAATGTGCACTCTTAATCCACTTACCGAGTTGACGGCCCAAGTGCGTGTTTCGCCGCTCGCCGGATGCTTGCCTCTGACAACGCAGATACAAACGCCACAGCCGCCTTCCAGGCACATGAATTTCGTTCCTGTCAGCTGGGCATGCTCGCGCAGGAAGGTGTTCAGCGTTATGTCGACCGGCAAGCTGCTCAAATCAACTGTAACGGCGCAAAACAGAATCGAAAGCTCCGCTTAATGCAGACAGCTAGAGACAAGCCATTGCGCTAACTTACCGTCATAAGGCGTACCATTGATGACAAAACTGGTAGTCATTTGATCGGCAGAACCGAATAACAAATCAGATTAACTCAAAATATTTCCACACAAAGCGAAGTAGACGCTGAAAGCTGAAGCTGGAGCAAATTAAAAATTGCTTTTTTGTGTGGTTAGCTTTTTTCAAGTAGCGCTACAAGTAGTTGAGATAAACTGCACTGTTTGCCGTTAGCTGAGCGACTAGCAAGCGCTCTGGCTCATATAGCGTTGTCAACTACAATGCGATCGGCACGTATACACGAGTATTTGGTTTACTGCCCAAATAAAATACGGTGCTTAATGTTTTTAGTGCAATAATTACCGTAAGATCGAGCGATTGTCTTTGAGTCAGTACAAAAAACATAGAAAACCTGTTCGCTTGAAATAAATCGTCTGTTCCCCTATGCGCTAATATTGTTGTTAAGTAGCACTAGAAAGAGTTTTGTCAAACTTGTATTTCCAAAAGCTGTATGTTAGCTCCGATTTGGGCTACTGAATTTTGTGCATTTTTAGTATTTGAATTCTGTAAATACTTGTGTGTCAATAGTATAAACTTTAATACAATCAAAAATAGTACGAAATACTTGAAGAGTGGACATTTTATGATTTTTATAATAGATAATCTCTTCATATAAAGATATTTCTATTTAAAGAAAAGTTTTTGCTGCAAAATTTTTGATTTTGATAATTGAAAACAGTCCTACGTTTTAAACACTCGCTCTAAGCTTTATTTTTTTTATTTGTTTGATATTTATAGTTCGTTCGTTTAAACAAACAATAGACGTGTACCTTGTCTCGGTCTAAAAAAGTTATCTGAGATTTGATAGAATTATGTTGCTCAAAGTAAAAGAGAGCCTATGCATATGTTCGGCGGTATTCTGAAAAGCCTGAGTTATCTGAGATTTGATGGAATTATGTTTTAAAAAAAAATATATATATATATGGTATACTTGTATGGTAATTGCCAAAATCTCGTGTAGCAAATGGAAATAACAATAAAAGTAAACAACTTAAGTAAACGAGTAGCAGAAAATGTAATTCCCAAAGCATTAAGAAAAGAAAAACGAAACTACCTAAATATAATATAAGGAATTCGCTATTATGCGCCGATTTTGTGTTTGTTTGCATATATATATATATATGTATGCCTGTGTGTAAATAAGTGCTTACAGCGTACGATCGTAGGGCGGATAACGAGCATTTGTCTGGTCGCGTTTCCGCTCTCCAACGATGGGGGAAGTCACCATCAAGTGAACAGTTGAGCACTAAAAATGCAATAAAAGCATGGAATTTATGCATTTCTTGGAACATTACCATAATATACATTATACATATATATAATATATACATACGAAAAAGCACAAGGAGCTACAGCAAGTGCGACAAAGAGAGATGGGAACGCAAAAAAGCAAAGCGAAAAAAAATAATAATAATTCAAAAGTAAGCACAGTAAGCCAATTTGCGGAAAAGCACATGCAAGAGGAGTCAAAAGAGAGAAATCGACGCTCAAAATGCACAAATTCCAAATTCTTAGAGGGCGAGCAATAAAAGGCAGTCGTAAATATGGTAAAAATGCAAGGGCAGCGAAGGTATGGTAAAAGTATGTGGAACTTGATAATCAATTATGGGCTAAGCACATGCATATAGCTCTGTGGTCTCGTGGAGCAAAAAAAAAAACTGAGAAAAGTTACTTAAAATCAGTTCGACAGAGCAGTCGTGTCAGCAAAGCATAACGCTTAGACCTGTGTTTCTAGCATTCGACTTGTGCTCCCTAGGGAGTCCGCAAATTCACTCGGCATATGTGCACAAATATCCATACATACTCGTATGAACCGTTGATTGCCTGATTGCCTTTTATGCTTTCAGCCCGCACATCAATACGAAAGTTGGTCAATGCGGCTTTTTGCAACAGAATGTTGCAGCTAACGCACGGCAAGGGGCGCACAATACTGCAGACTACCGCGGCGTCTCGTTTGTATTGCAGTTTTTACATCGTTTTCCGTTGTTATATTTGAAATTTTATGCAAATAAAGTCGCTACACCAAAGAAATTGGCAACAATTGCCTCAAGCTGGAAAGCCGGAAATAGTAAAAGTGTAGGGTTCGTGAACGCCTATGAGGATAGGGTTTTAGTTTTGTTTTCAATATGGCTATAAATGCTGTACTTTATTGCGAAGAAGAAAAGACGAAGAGAAGAAGCCTATTGGTGGGGCCTCTCAACATCGGAAACAAAATGACTGCAGTTTTATAAATTCCTTTACAACTGTGAAACTGATTGTGACTCTGTTTTACAATTTTCGCAACAAAAAAAATTAAAGTCTCCATTGAAGTTAAGATATCAGAAGCAGTGAACGTATACATTACTGTGCATTCTTTATTACTCGCTGAACAGGGTATATTAAGTTGATCCGTCCGTCTGTCTCTATATACGTGAACTAGGCTTTCAGTTTTTGAGTTATCGATATTCAAGCAGCTACTCATATGACGAAACCGCCGATATCCGATAACAATAGCATATAGCTGCCACACGAACTGATCTATTAAAATCACTTTTCGAAAGTTGGACAATATCTAAGGCCGCGCTACAATCTCCGAACATGCGATAATCAGGAAACCATCTTGTTTGGTCTTAGAATGGTCATGATTACTCATTCAAACCCCGCTGACTTCTTTTTCCAACAAAAATCATTGAGATCGTTCACACGATAACCGAGATACGAAAGAACATGCATATGTATGTGTGCTTGTTTATCTTCGATAATTCTATGTTTGTTTGTCGGACGCTTTGGAACTCCACTTCGAACCATCTACAAATAGGGGTGCTTGTGTTTCAAGATATTTACAAAAATTTCGAATACAGTTGTAGCGAATGCACCATATGCGACCCTTTATTTTTAAACTCTATTTTAAATTCCGCTTTCATGTACTCCTTTTTATATAATATTTACCCGAAAAGTTGACCGCCTTCATGAGAGTGTGCGCGTTACTTGAGAACTTCGCCAATTGCTTGTTGTTGCTAGTTAAAGAAGCCTTAAGCTCATTTGCGCTGCTAACGAGTTGCCATAACCATCATTCTAGCTTTTCCACAGCAAAAACAACAAGCACAATCCAAATACTCGAAGCACACAAAGCTTGCTGGTGGAACTCGAAATTCAATTGAAACGCGCCATGTTGACCACGGAAACGTACACAACTTGCCAAACGTGGCAAAATATTAGCCAAACAACTACAACAACAATAACAACCGAAGGGTAATTGAAACTAGTGCAGCGCATAAAAGGCGGAACAACAACAACAACAGCAATATAAAGAACGACAAAAGAAGAATAAAACCAAAAACCATAAAAAGGAGGATAGCAACATTTGAAGAAGTGTTGCATGTGGCATGGGAGTATTTTTGTAGCGTTAAATAATTGTATTGTATATGGAAGTATGTGGCAGCCGCAGCTGAAAATGCGAAGTAATGTGAGGTAATGCAATAATAATAAAAGCAAAGTTGGCTAGCTGAGCGTATGGCTGCTTAGTTGCCTGCCTTACCTACACCGTTACATATTGAGGTTTTTATGCCGTTTGTCGCCTGCCATCGCAAGAGGTATGGAGTTGTAAATGCCCTTAACGGGAAAAGCATAAAATGCTTGCTGTTGATGGCAAGGTTGTTTATGCTTCTGTTGTGGAGCGCACCAAACAAATAACGGAAAGTGTGCGGCATGCGCTAAAAGAAACAACCGAGTTGCTAAGATTGCCAACAAGGCAATACTTCGCTGTGGCATGACTTTGGCAACATGCAACGGCATGCTGTTCTTGCTGTTGCTGTTACAGTTGTTGTTGCCGCAGTAATAGAAAAGCAAAGCATAAGTTATGTTTACGCTACTACAGCTATTCGGCCAAGTGGAGTTTGCACTAAATGTAAAGCACGATGTGTTGCTTGCTGTGTCGATATTGAATGTGTGGAAATGTATACATCATCACATCAACACAATAACGAGATGAATAGTAAACAACAACATTGCTATCTAGAAATGGTTGGTAAGCTTTGGGATATAATAAAAAAAAATTCAGGTTCACCCGAACTTCTTGAGAGTCAAAGAGAACATCCTTAAATTTTTATACTTTAATCTGAATTTTTATGGAAGTCACCAGACAGTAGCAACCACCAAGACGAGTGTGAAATAAAAAAAAAAAAACAAAAAAACAATTTCTTCTCATACTTCGATAAGTTATACTCTTAAAAATAACATACCAAAGTTTTAAATCGATACCTCAAATACTTTTTGAGTTACAGCCTTCTAAACTTTAACCGCTCAGTTCAATCAGCTTCATAAGTTCATTTTTAACGCCTTTTTCACGAAATCACATTTTCCAAATTTTATCGAGTGATTGCTGAGAAACAAATGATCCGTTCACTATCAAACCTGTAATCTCTGCATGTTCTGTATGTAGTTCTCCATACAATGACCTACCAATTTTTTGATCTAATCAAAAATAGAATTTCGGCATGCCAAAACGACCAAAATTAAGACTACAATTTTTTTAAACGCCGCCGTTTTGTCAATTTAATTTATTTTAAGCGTGGGTCTTCGTACGAACAATATCTTTCAGTGCATAACTCGTTTTTTTTTTAGGTTTCATCCACTGAGAAGACCGGAATTACTACAGTAGTGGAGGATCTGTTTTTTGGCACCGCCGGAAATCGCTTGTAACTTGCAAAATATGTAATTTTTTTCTTTAAAACTTTACCGTATATTTATAAAATATGTATAAATACTTCCTTAAAATTTTGAAACAAAATTCGTAATTTTTAGGCTGTTAGACTATGTGGGTGGAGCCCCTACACACTTACAAAACCAAAGTTTTCAAAATTCGGAAAACTTAAATTTAAGAGAATGCTTGCACTCCTGAACTGACCGTTAGTACTTGCCTAGAAGACAATTTTGTTCATCAAAATGTGAGTACTATTAAATCCCAAACACTTTACCACACTCCACCGCAGCCCAGGAAAATCTATGAGCTTACTTTAAAGATAGGATTCGTGAAAGCTGATATATTATATGTCAAAAATCTTGGAAGCTATTTCTGGAGGCAATAATTTAAATAGTCTTTACATGCATTTTTTTTCTTTCTATAAAAGCTAGTTACTAATTGTTAGCATAATACTTTCGTGTACTACTGTAAATCTTGAAAAATAATATGGAGTA